CATTACTGGTACCTGGACTAGGTTTGTCTCATGTTTGAACCCAAAGAATTGTGATATGTGATACCTTACACCAACATTACATGCATATTCTTTCAGACGGTCCACTTTATAAGTAGCCAGGCTGGTGCCACCTAGTGCCTCCACTCAATTTCTTTTCTCTCCAGCGACTAGGTCAGGATTCGGAATACACTAGACGGTTTGCAAGAACCCCAGAAGTTGTAGACCGCGCACCGGCCAATCAGCGGAGAGCTGTGAAGCCATGACGTCAAACTCAAGCACCTGTCTGGGTCCCTTTTGTGGTACAGCACAACAGTAAATCGAGATGAATGTAGATGAAGACATACATTCTGTGTTGGCAACGATTCCTGAGATAAAGGATTTAAAGCTGAAACTAACTGAATATTTGGTGAATTTTATCAGGGGGAAATACATTATTGCCCTTCTTCCTGGGAATGGCGCATTACATACGTCACAACCAAATAACAGCAATTGGTTAAATAAAAAGTACCTGCCTACCTTTGAGCATGCGTTATTATTAGCTTGTCTATATCTCCTAAGATCAAAATGCTCTGTTCCAACTTGTGATGGCATGAAGCAATACATTTCTAATTAACAGCTACCTTTTACCTTCCAGGGTTGAAATGATCCAAATGATTCTAGTGAAGGTGTGTGGAGTTTAAAAACACAGTGGAGCATTTTCCCACATGACATCAGTGCGTGGTATTTACTGAGCTATGTCATTTGAATGTAATCAACATTTCATGTTATATGTGTTATTCATATTTTTCCTCTTAAGGATTAAAAGACCTTACCAGCAACTATGGGCAAAGTGGGATTCGCTCATAACTTGAGAACTTGAATTCACGTAAACATAGATTTTTTTCCCTGTAGCTCCCTAGAGGACCAGGGGTGGTGCTATTTTCTATAGCTAAGTCTTTAGCAAAATGAGAGTGGATCTTCAACTGCTCCTAACAAATGACTTATTCACATGGCAAATTTATTATGGTACACTCTCTTGTAGGGATGCACCAAGCCATCATTTTCAGTTATGATTCAGATTCCAATACTACAGCTTTATGTATCTGCCAATATCTGATATCAAACTACAGAACAACTTTGAACAAGTAAAAGGTCAAACATTCTGAGACTTTGTGGACCGACTACAACCAGTAAATAGACTTATTATATCCATTTATATGTTCAACCAGGATATCGGCTGAAACAACATTTGGAAGCCGATATCCAGTCTAGCAAATTTTTCAGTGTTGTTGCCCAGATCCTATACTAGTATGAGATTGGTGTATCCCTATTCTCTTGTCTAATTTGCGTCTAGTTTAGTCCTTGATTTGGTCCTGTTCTAGTCTATGTTTGGTTTAGCTTAGCTTTAGTTCCAAGTATGTGTGTGTGCAAGTGTGAATCGGGCAGCTGTGTCTACAATAGTTTACCACCGCCGAGTGTGGAATGAATAAAGATATGATCATTATTAATGACATTTGCCAGTAAATATAGATGCCAACCTAAAAACACATGACATTATCAAATGCAGTATGTATTCTTCATTCTATATGGTTCAAAGCTGCAAGTGCCTGTTTCAGTCGTTCCCTCTTTCTCCTGCTCCATCTTCTCTGCCTCACTTGGCCTCTCTGTGAAGCCCAGTGTACCATATCAAGGACAGTCTATAGTTCTGACTGCAGGCTGCGCTCAGCTCTGCATGGGCCAGATGTTTCAAAGCTGCACAAAGCATGGGACAAGAAAGCACAGAGCGAATAGAATGTATGGATTCCTATATAGCATGCTTTAGTCATGAGAAAACTCTATAGGAAAGCATAAATATTATAAGAGACTCTGAAATATACACTGGCTACTCTGATTAAAGACCATAGCAACCTAGGTGTATATCCACACTTTCTTCCTATGAGACCATGCTCCAGTGCAGATTTATAATAGCACGCCTAATGGCCAGTGTTGTCTGAAGTGGCTTGCTCACACATTAAGTAGAGTCTGGTTACAGTTAGTGGATTAAAATAAACACAGCAACCCCACTTAATCAAACTTAATGCTTCTTGTACTTCTAACCTCAACAGTTTGTCTTTATGGGTAATGGGCCCGAACCGTTTTAATCATTGTGTTGCAGTGTTGTACCTCTGAATGATCCATGGCAAATTAAATATTTCCTTCTCTGCTTACAAACGTGCTCTTTCTGTCAGTGTTTATATTGTGTAATTATGAGGCAAGAGAAAGCACTCATTATTAGCAGTTATTTGGGGTTTTCAGCTCTCTGTGCATCACTAGTTTATTTATTTAATTTGTTTTATTTTATTTATTTATTTGGGGCAAACGTTGCATAATAAATGTATTGCACAGACCAAATTTGGCTACAAGCTCATTGGGTAAAGGCAAAGTGACAGTAAGTAATAGTGTGCAGATACTTCATAAAGTGGTCCATGTAACATTTAAATACAGCTAAAAAATGAACGACAGCAACCCATCACCAGCAGAAGGAGCAGCTCATCAACACTCCAAATACAAACATACAATACTGATGCCCAATTACTGAAAGCAAAGTCTCTCCAAGTTCAGATCTCTCCTTTCTAAATTAAATATCTGAATACTGTACTGCAAGGCGCTCCATCCTCAGTGACCAACATTATCTAGAGCCTGTTCTGTTTATGCATACTTCAGCTCACATTTTTGCTGTGTTCAAGTCCCACAAGAGCCTGCTTGTGAGAAGGCCATTTTGGGGCCGAACACTGATGTCCCAGTGCCTGATCTTTGGGTTAAGTGAAGAGTGAACATCTGTGGGTGAAACTGTGCATCTGTGTGTTGCAGTGAATGCTCCAGAGACAAAGGGCTCTAGGCTAGTCTTACACAAACAACACACAAACATATAGACTGGAGTTGTTCTGCTGCAGGTGATATTACTGACAAAAGTTAAACTCACTCTCTCATTTTGTATTTGACCAAAGACAACAACTGGATAATATTCAAGCAGACCATCAAATGTGATATAATACACTACAAATGTCTTACTTAATGGTGCACTGTGTGAAATTATGAAAATGTAATTATATATAATGTTTATTGCCCATATGTACAGTATCTTCCCCAGTGTGAGGCATGTGGTCAGTGTTATTAGAGTTATTAAATAAAACCCTGTGGTTAGAGGGTGGAGCACGTGTGAAGTAACAGTGGGAGACGACACTTTCCCTTTGATCCCTTTATGATTAAAACATTTGTACTCATCAAGAGGTGGAATTACAAGCAGGGGCGGTCCTAGACATGGGCCGACAAGGCAGCTGCCCGGGGTGACATGGGGGGCAGCATGAATGACCGTGCACATCTAATTCTTTGCAGCACACTTTGGGAAGCCCATCACCCCGGGGAGTAAATCAGTGTTGGACCACCACTGATTATACGGGCCAGATGCATGTGCTGAGAAAATAATGCAGTAGAAATATAAAAAATTTAATGTTTAACGTAACTTGAAATGGGGAGACTTTATAAATGCATTTGGTGATTGTTTCTGCTCACGTTTTGCTCTGTTGAAATAGAAGAATATATTGACAAATCCAAAGTACTCCATTTATTGTGTAGTGTATAGTGTATTAACTAGATCTGTCATGATAATTACCATATCTACATATCTCTTTGGGGATTATCTTGGATTATTGTTATTGTGTCAGAGGCATGCAGTAGTTTAAATACTATTGTTTATTGCAGTACATCTCTGTAGCAAATATTGGACTTAAAAATTTGTTGCTGTGACAGGCCTAGTATTAACCATTCAGTAGCAGAGGCCAAATCCTTGCAATGAGGCAACAGTTGCTCAGTATTTGGATTATGCCTTAATGTGTTTTGATTTACACTGAATATGCATGTGTATGTAAATGAGTTCATAGTCGAGAGTCGAGACAGAGCTCATTATTTTGCAAAATATATTCAAAAATGGTGTGGTGCTCCAAGTGGTTTAAGGTCACTCCATTTATTCAGTAGTACTTTTTAAAGCTGCATTTTCTGAATAATGTGCTGTAGTTGATCTCATTAAGAAGAAAGACGTTGTTTGGGGCATTCAAAGGGAATACAATGAAGACAAAAGGCTAAAAATAGCAAACTAATGACAGACTCCAGCTTAAAAGCCTGAAATATGGTTCCACTCCTGCTGCTGCGTTATCACTAAGGGGCGGAGTCATGATACCACTCACCTCCATGCTTTGTCCTTTTTATGTGTGGTCCCACTGAGCCATGTTAATTGTCAATGTAATGATTTTGCACAAAGCTAATTTCCACCCATTTTGATTGATGTGCCAATCAAAAAACACATTAAAACGTGAAAAGAAAAAACAGCTGAATACCTTTGAAGCCATTTACTATAAGATGTAGGAGAAATAAGAACAGTTACTACAGTTGAGTGAGTGGGTGCAGGTTAGTGAAGACAGAGTGACAGCGTTTCAGTAATTGGGAGCTATTGCCTTACAAGTGGTTCTAATAGGTGTGTGTATGTTTGCGTCTAGCTTGCCTTAAGGGCTAGGAGAGGTAGAGTTTCCAATAGCAAGTGTTTAAGTGACAAACACAGTGTGCTTATCGGCAGAATGTGGTGTCATCCTATAGGTATAGCTCCAGTGTGGATTTTAAACCGAAACTCTTAATCCTTTTAGAGGGGCAGAAAGAGTGTAAAATGACATGTTATGGTGCTCAAAACCAAGATGTCTGATTATGACTGCATGGGGACATTCAAACTAAGGGTGGGGAACAAGTGCATGATATATTAGTATTAGTTTTGATGTAATTATTTATCATATAGGATATAAGAGTTCCACCTTATAAAATAGACTGTATTCTTTACTCTCCCATCCACTGCCTTCGCTTGAGTATCCGCATTGCTTTTATTCCACCACTATTTCTGCAACTTTGTCTAATTCTGTTCATTGATGTACACCCTTTTACGCATGCACAACAGACAGTGCTAATGAAAGTGCAATTGAGATTCGAGTTAGTATTACCTCCACGTAGGGCACAACTTTGCAGGTGAATTCTCCCAAGAGCCAGGACTTGGTCAGTTCATGAAAAACCACCATGGGCAGACAGAACAAGATGAGAACAAAATCCCACACCGCCAAATTAGCCAAGAGGGAGTTGGAGATGCTCTTCATGTAGTAGTTCTGACACACGATACACAGGATAGCGATATTCCCCGCTATCCCCACTAGAAAAATCACCCCTGAGACGCACGTGATCGCGTACGCCCCGTAGGTCTCACTTGTCACTGGCCAAAACGGGTTCTTAATTTCATCCACAAAATCCAGTGAGCTCGGAGGCGTCATGGGGGTCGCATCCCAAGGATTCTCCTCTCCCCTAAAAGTGTAGAAGTAGTCGTTCCGCTTCGTGAAAAGGTCAAAGGGCAGATCCGTGGACGTAAGCGCCAAAGGTTTGGGCATGGGTTCCCAAGACGCGGAGTGCGCTTGTGCCGCAACAATTTCGCTTTTGTTTCGCCGAGTCTTTCCCTTTTTAGGCACTGCTTTCTTCTGCCCCTCTTCTTTGGAGACGCTTTTACGCCTGTCGCCTCCCTCCTCGTCCATAACCAGTGAAGAGAGCTTAGGCGCATTGTAGTGTCCACCTGCTGAACCACTAAGCCCGCCATTCAACTTTATCCTCTTGTTATTATGTTGCCGCGTTGGGTCCCAGTGTGAAGCAGCGTTCGCGTCCTCTACGGCTGTCACTGTCTTATTCAAGTTGGGTTTATTGTTACTGTTATTGCGCGCGGGTTTTCTCGTCTCCTTTACTTTTCCCCAAGGACGCGTGGAGTTGGGAGCAGCTTTGCTAATTGCCGCTGCTGCACCTGTGGCGTGGTGCTCTCTTGCCTTGTTTTGATGGCTCTCCCGAGAGGCCCAGTGGAAAGTTCTCGTCAAGTGGGTGCCAGCGTTATCGCTTTCTTTAGTCCGCACTTCGCCATCGGTCCACAGGGAATTTAAGACTTGCGTATACGCTAGTAAGACAAACAACGTCCTGAGCGGCAAAAACGGCATGGTCCGGGAGTGTGTGTGGAGCAAGAACGATTAAAATCCTTAGATGAGCATCCTCTCTGCGTCCTTCTTCAGTCTACACCCATGTTTAAAACGGTACGGCGTTCACAACTCCTCTGCTGCAGCGTAAAACTTAAAGCCCACTCGCGCACTGCAGCTGTTTCCTCTTCTCCAAAGGGGAACCGGTGCATATCCACGCTGATTCACATACTGAGGGCGGCATGCAATCCAGTTATAAAAATAGCATCCGAAAAATCTGCACTTTGTTCTGCTTGTGTCCAGAAGCGGCGGGAAGAGTAGTGGCGTCAATGCGGCGAGCAGCGAGTGAAGCCCACTGATGCACGCAGTGGAAAGCTGGGGAGAGTGACACGGAGAGAGAGAGAGAGAGAGAGAGAGAGAGAGAGAGAGAGTGAGAGGGAGGGGTGGTCCTGAAGGGGAGAAAACGGTCGCCACTCTCCGATTGCCTGTGCCTGCCTCCTCCCTGTGGCGCCTTGTAGTGATTCTTCCTCGCTTCTCTTCTTTCTTAGCTCGGATAGGACCGCGTAAAAGAAAATGGACTCCCCTGGCGGCTAACCCCGATCTGTCACTCTTCATCCATCTTGGAGCATCCACAACAGCCCCGCAGCTACTACTGCTACACCGCTGGAAGAGCCCCCCAAGGCAGACAAGACACACAGCCACGCCCGGCACACGAACCGAGAGGCTGAGCGAGGTGGCAAATTTTACGCACAGGTGGCGCTGTGAATACCATCTATGCGTGATCCCGTTTAACCCCATGTATGTTACAATAACCCGCTAGAAACAGTCATTAGATGCAAGACGGCTCTCTGGAGGAAAGTTAATGAGCTATGAAAGAAAAGTCAATAGAACCTTAGTGCAGTATATCAAGCCATACCTTTTAGGCTGAATTGCGAATAGATTTGTTGTGTTTAGAGTTTTAGGCACAGAAATGTTTAAGAGGGCCATCATTTTACTTTATTAAGTTATTATTTTTGTTATTAAGTGAACAAAAACAAATATGCTAAGAGATATGAGAGGAAATGTCACCAAAATGTTTAATTAGACAATCTGTTACTTATGTTGTCAAGTACTAAACCCAAGCCTTTGAATCCCTCCATTCATTGTCTCATATTTGCCCTACATTCACATTCTGCAACCTTGCACTGCATTTGAAAGTGATCTTATTTTTGGATTGATTTTTGGGTAACTATAAAGGCTATGAGCATTGATTGTGGTTAGCCCTCCTCTGCCCACATCAATAATAGCACCATGTCTGCTCAAACCCCTCCCATAACCTAACCTAAAAACTGTAAGGAGAGTACTCTTAGCCCTGTCAATCAATTAAGTGACTCCCCTGACTTAATGAAATGAGGATGTGATGTCTGTATCACTCTGAAGTATTGGGTAAGAGGACATCTCATTAAACTCAGACTGTCACTTTAAAGTGAATGACAGGTTTGCTAACATCATTATATTTAAGATTTTATTACAAAGTCCTGTCTAGTCTTTACTAGTTTTGTCATTTTGGGGAAGGTTATAATTTGACTTCCTGGTTTGACAGGGGCACAGGGGCCGCAGACACAGGACACACTGTATCTAACATAATGTTGTCTATTGTAACGTTAACACAGGGCCGAAATGTGTCTAAATTTCACAATAGTTATTATTAGACTGATAAAAATAGATGACAACACCTCTGTTTTGTTTAAAAAAAGAATTTCAAGTGTCATAAAAGTGTTTGTTGCTCATAAATTGTTCCTGCATCTGGGTGGAATTTTCAGTGTTGACAGGTATTCTGGTATGCTGGTTTGAAGATTTTAGATCTTGTTTGTTTTGTTTGTTTTTCTCTGCAGATAGGCAAAAGATTGTTTTACAAAATTATAAAAGTGCTTGCTTTATATGCTTTGAGGACTCCTGAGACCACAGCAGCAGAAGTTAAAGAGGTCCAGGTAATTTCACTTGAAAATAAAGGTGGATTGACCAAAGTTGACCCAGAAGAGGACACCACTGTAAACTATTAAACAACAGATGAAGATACAGGACCTCACAATGAGTCGTTCAGATATTTGAAAATACTGACAACAAATTAACACTGGCAGAACCGGATGCTGCTGTCAGTGTGGTTGATGTTCCCCAGTCTGACATGCAAGCCGAGGATGGGGAAATGAACATCAACAAAAAAAAGGTAAAGTGTGGGACAAAAAGAAACAAAAAGGGTAGAAATGAGACCCTGTAGAAGTTCTGGGAAGAAAACCTTGCAGCAGTTTACAGTAAAATGAAGGACTTGTTTAAAGACCAGAAGACGTCAGCAGTGGAGCTAAATCAGATCCATGCCACAGCTTTTAGAAAGGCTGAAGTGTTTTCACAAGAAGAAGGACCAGCAACACAGTCTGAGAAGATGACCAACGCTGTAGCATTGGTGGAGGAAGATACTGGACTTCACCATGAACAGGGCCCTGAGGAGACCAAGAAGGTGGTGATCCAGGATTCCAAGAAAGACAAAGAACAAAACATAAGAAGATGCACTGGATGGAGCCAAGAGGATGTGTTCAGCTGCTTTAAATACACAAATGAAGAGGCAGAGGAGACAAAACAGACAGAAACTGAAGTTACCGCAAACAGTGTTCTTCAAAAATCCCTGTGTGAGAAGTTGGAGTATTCAATCCAGGATTCAACCACTACCACCATTAGGAGAAAGACCAAAAAGAGCAAAAATTATTAGGTAGATTGGATGGAGTCTTCCAGTGTACCAGAGTTTTGGTTCACTTGATTTAACGATGAGTCGGGGGAGACAACACAGGCAGAGGCTTAAGTTTCCCCTAACACCGTGATCCAAGAATCCATGTGTCAGGAGTTGGAGATCCAGGATCCAACTAGTACCACTAGAAGAAGAAAGAAAAAGACCAGAAATAAGAGGACAGATGAGAACGAGTCTTCATATGAGGTCCAATAATAACTCATGCAAAATGACCGATACTATGATTATGAAGATGTCCTTCTGCAAGCGAGAAAGGCCCGAACTAGGGTCAAGAACATGACAGCAGTGTCCTCCACATATTCAGAGGACAATGGAGACAACTGCAGGAGGAAGAGGAACAATAATAGGCATTAGGTCAAAACAGTTTCGTCCAGTTTGATCTAAAACAAAGCATCATATGAGATTCATGTTGAGTTATTGAAATGTTTAGCAGGAATCAAAACAATCTATTTTTCATTATTTCACAAGCAGTCCAGCCACAGCCAAATCACTGTTCTGCTCTGTCTGTGGCCATCAACATGAATATAGCAGTGAGTAAACAAATGTGCATAGAATGTAGGGATTAGCTTCAGACATTTAAAACATATGAACAGGCTTTTCACGTTCACAATGAGACATTTGAATGTACAATGTTGAATGCTACATTTGTTAGTAGCTGTGGTATAAGTGCATTAAACAAATCCTTGTTTGTTAAACACAGGTGCAGTTATTTTGTCTTAGTGCTACTTCCTGTATTTTTGTACTTCTCTTTTCAACCTTTTTACCCCAAACTGCAACTTAACTGATGTTGAATGATGATGAATATTTACCACAGGTACTAGCCCACAAAATCAAGTAATGACTAGAAAAACAAGAAAACCAGTCATATCCACTTGAAGCATATTCTTTTAAAAGCACTCTACCTTGAAAGGCTCATTGAAATATTAATGGCTGTATACTTGTGTCTGTATTTTCTGAAAGCGTTCCTTATGGAGGTGATGATGAGAGATTCAAGTGCCAACTGCAGCGGACATCCCACGTGGTGACCTTCTACATCAAATGGACGCTGGTGGCCAAGTCTTGGCGGGTAATGCACAAACTCACGAAGTACAAACATTACACAGAGCCAAGTTTCTGAGGGGGTCTGGGCAGAGATAAGATGTAGACACAGGTTGAGCTAATATCCCCATCCAAATGCATATAGAATGTTTAGAAATATTGCAATACAAAAAAGTTATGTTAGATATGTTAAACAAAACAAACTAAAAAATACCAGACACCCCATCTCCAGAAGAACAGCTCACTTAAAAATTGTGTTGCAAATGTTAATACCTGCATACTTTAGGATGATGAGCTTGTCATATATGCATCAAACTAACCAGCTTTGGACATATGCCATGCATCCCTTATTGATTTTTTGCCGCTGATGGCATCATCATTCCCTATAATGTGAATATAATAATAATAATAATAATTCATCAGTTTTATATAGCATTTTTCTGTACACTGAAAGACGCTTTACAGAGCATTATTTAGTCACTCCACAGTCAGTGGTGGTAATCTACCATCGTAGCCACAGTTTAGGGCATACTGACGGAAGCAAGGCTGCCAATCTCCGTTATTTGGCTCCTCCAACCACCACCACCACTCACACACACACACACCACTTTCATATTAGGCAATGTGGGTGAAGTGCCTTGCCTAAGGTTTTTGCAATTGGCAACCCACAGTGGCACCTGATTTTCCCAGCAGTCTCCCATCCAAGTACTAACCAGGCCCAGACTTGCTTAGCTTCTGAGATCTGATGGAATCAGGCTTTGACAAACTGATATGGCCACTACTCTGTTGAAGCTCTGTTACCGAAGTTAGACAATAATCTGATCTTTATTTTAACACAGTCTGACCAGAAAAAGATGACTTAGTTAGAACTCCTGAAAATGTGCTGTTTAAATCCACTGTGTATATTATCTTGAAATTTCAGCCAATCTTATGCATTGTGTCTTAATGGTAACTGCTATGCTCCACCTTAGAGACTCATGTAGAACACCCACCGCGTGATGTTCCGGCACAGCAATGTACAGTAGACTGATTTATTCCAGTCTACTATTTATTCACAATACTATCAAAATGGACATACACTGCAGAACATATGCCTTAGTGTTAAATCCTATAAATTAGTCTTTATTATAAAACAATATTGAATGCACAGGTCAAAAGTTTTAGAGTCATTTATTTATATAGTGTGTCAGCTGGTTTAAAACTCAGA